CAGAGCAGTCATTTGGTCCTTGGTCATCTGCACCTTGTATGTTGGCCTCTCCTGTGGAGTGAGTCAGTTGGCAGAAGCTTTTTCTTCCAGAGCAGTTTGCTTTGTGCTGATGTATTGTGCAGCATGGTGACGTTATTAATAATGGCATATACTTTAAAATTGCTAAGAGGGTAGATCTTTAATGTTCTCCCTGCAAAAAAAATCAATAAGTGTGTGAGGTGATGGATAGGATAATTAGCTTGATTGCATTATTTCATAATGCATATGTATGTCAGAACATTACACTGTGTACCAGAGGTATAAATAAATTTATATGTCAATTATACCTTCATAAAGCTGGGGGGAATTTTTTTTTTAAATTAGAAAAGAGATGAGAGTCATCTGCCTGCCCTGTGACATGGGTGCTGGAGAGAGTATAACATACCAGGGAGCTGAGGGGCTCTTCTGTGCTGTCACAGTGAGCACGGTTTATTTGTGCCATAGTGGTAATAGTGCACACAAAGAAACTCCATTTTTAGGACCCCTTGGGTCATTCATGGATAGACAAAACTGTGAAGCTGTATCAGAGAAGGCCACAGGTCTTTTCTGTTATTATTATTATTTTTTTTACCCCAAATGAATTCTTCAGAATCCATCACATTGAGTTTTTCATGTACTTCCTGTGTCCCACACAATGCCTTGTATATAGCAGGCAGTACAAGGCATTCTTTTGATTAAGTATGAAGTCATGAACTGACTGGTAAGAACTATTTTAGTTTGAGGTAAGGAGGGTTGTATGAACTGGTTGAAATGAAAGAGCAAGTTCATATCAACCACTGAGCTGGTTATATGTTATAGTTCCAAAATCAATGTGTAAAGACCTATTTATCTCCTTCATTTATCTAACAAATACTTGGGCTTTGAACTAGGTATAGGAGAAATAGTAATGAACAAGACAGACAAAAGTCTCTGTCCCCATGAATCTTACAAAGAAATTGACATGGAATATAATGTCAGACAGTAATAAGTGCTTTGATAGAAAGAAAAACAAGACTAGGCAGAGAAGGTGTTACAGGGTTATGGGGTGGGCCACTTGGGATGGGGAAGTCAGGGCAGGATTCTGAAAAGTTGCCATTGGAGCACAGTGTGAGTGAGATGAAGTCTTACAAGGGTCTGGTAGCTGAGCATCCCAAGCAGGAAGTTTCTGACATGGGAAATGAATTTGGCAAATTTGAGGACTGCTGAAGCATAAACTGGCAGCCCCCAGGAATGCCCAGTGAACAGGAGGGCTGAGTAAGAAATGGCAAAGATGGAAACCTGTCCTCTTTAGTTAATGACCCAAGGCTTGTCTGTGAAACATTTGGGTCATGGTATGTGATGTGTATTGAATATTGAATGAAGGTGTTAAGTAGACTTGTACATGGGAGGAGTCTGGAGCTGGGGAAGTCAGAGGTTTTTACTCAACTTCATTCAATAGGGGCTAGATGATTTTTGAAGTGGATCACTAGATAAGATGACCAGGAAAACTCCTATGGGTAGAGAAGGGCACATGGCCAAGGACTGAGCCCCAGGGTGCTCCTGTGTTTGCATGTAGAGACTGGGTTTGTCCTGGTGGCCTGGGTAGCAGCTAGGAGAGCCTGTTCTGGAAATTAAGTGAAGAAGGCATTTCAACCTCTTCCTCTCTGCACCTCCTTTGTTCAACCAGCCTAGACCACGCTATCATCATCCCTTTCCACTGTGGGAAATTTTGCTGAACACTCTCATACCATGAACAGTATAGCCAGCTGTGATTTCAGGAGCTGGAAGCCAACATTAAATGTTTATAATATGGGAGGTATAAGTTCAGTGTCCCTTATTAGAAATGCTTGGGATGAGAGCATTTGCATACACATAATGAGGTATTTTAGGCATAGGACCTCAAGTCTAAACACAAAGTTTTTTTATCTCATATACTTCTTATACATGTAACCTGAAGGTATATGTGTAGCCTAAAATATTGTTAGTGTGCTTATGTTTTGATTGTGCCCATTACATGAAGTCAGATGTGTTTTTTTTCCACTGTGGCATCATGTTGTTGCTCAAAAAGTTTTGGATTTTGGAGGACTTTGGATTTTTCAATTAGGAATGCTCAGCTTGTACTAAGTCTTCTTTGGGAGTATCTATAATTGGGTCGAAATGTGGAAATTAATGTCTTATGAATTGTAGATGATTCTAACCTTTAATCTTTTAAAACCTATTTCTTTTTACTTTCCTATAAATAACCCTTAAATAATAGATGAAAAAATAAAACTACTTCTTCTATTTCCAATATTATATTAGTTTTCCTGCTTTATATGTGCTGTTAGGAGCAAAAATATATTTGAGTAACATAAAGTTGAGATTTTGAAAAAGCACACCAAAGGAATTACAAGCTAATGATATATGTAGACACCATGTATTTGGGAGGTGTTCTAGTAATCGGCTTATTTCCTAAACCTGGTCTCTTTTCAAGACTCTTGTTCTCTGCTCAGGAGTTGGTACCATTGTCCATTCAGTTGTATGAAACAAGCACTGGAGGTATCCTGGTGCTGCCTCTTTGTCCCACCACCTTGACTATCAGAAAGTCCTGTGATCTGCTCTGTCTCTAGAGCCCACTTGCACCTCTTCATCTGGCTTCATCTCTAAAACCACTCACACCTCTTCATTTCCCTCCATCTTTCACCCATTCACAACTCTTCATCTCCATCTCTCTCACCCATTCCCCCATCTCCATCTCACTCCGTCTCTCATGTCCATTCACACCTCTCTATCACTCTCCATCTCTCATGTTCATTCACCCCCTCCATCTTACTCCATCTCTCTCTAACCCGTTCACCCCTCTTCATCTCCATCTCTCTCACCCATTCCCCCATCTCCATCTCACTCCCATGTCCATTCACCCCTCTTCATCTCCATCTCTCTCACCATTCCCCCATCTCTATCTCACTCCATCTCTCATGTCTATTCACACCATCTCTCATGTTCATTCATCCCTCTCTATCTCATCTCTCTCACCATTCCCCCATCTCCTTCTCACTCTATTTCTCATGTCCATTCACCCCTCTCCATCTCACTCCATCTCTCACCCATTCACACCTTTTCATCTCATTCTATGTCTCATGCCCTGGGCTGAGCTACCATCATTTCTTGCCTGGGTCACTGTAATGGCCTTAGAGAATAGTCTTCCCTCATACTCTCTTTCCCTATATGTCTGTTGGCATCCTGATGACTGGGTTATATTTTCGTAATTAAATTTGATTTTGTTACCTTCTCTGCTTAGATTCTTTCAGTGGTTTCTGTTGGTCACAGGAGAAGACGAAAATCTTTAAAGCGGCCTGGAAGCCCTGACTGGGCTCCAGGGCTGGCCTTTCCCCTTTCCTGAACCCAGGGAGGCCCTGTACTACAGGACGTTCCTGCTGTGACTCTGACCCTCTTACCTCTGGCTCTGCATTCTATCTCTGCTCCTTGGTCCCTCCCCCTGTATCTTCGTGCCCTGAATGGGGGTGACTAGTTACTGACTCGTGAGCCATCAGGTGAGGAGCAAGTCTGTGGATTCATGACAAGTGGGTGCTGGGTAAGTGAGTCACTCTGAATCCCACCTCACTTCTTCTCTGTGCAGTCTATTGCAGAATCAACCCAGCCTTGTTCTGACTGCCCCAGCCTGGGTGCTGCATCCAGAAGCTTCAAGTTGGCTTCAAGTTAAGCCCTTTAGCTGCTTGTAGCTCCAGTGTGCTCATCACAGGGGGTGTGTAATCTAAATGACCCCCGTGGAAGACACTTCGGAAATTGGGAAATGCTGACCCAATTTGTTACTATTTCAGAATACATTGAGGAAAGATCCTTAGTGATGTTGGAAATGTTTAAAAACATACTGGGTAATATTTATTAAACATATGATATGTACCAGATACATATATTCATACTTAGCCTATAAAACTATGTGAGCTAAATGCTGTTATTTTCCCAAGTTCACATAGTGAGTGATAATTACTAGCCAGCACTGTCTCTCCCAGAAGGAGCAGGAACAAATTTCAAAACAGAATCATTATCCACTTTTCTACAGTAGCACAGAGCCTCTGTCTCCCATTATTGGGAGAAATTAAGAACTGACTATAGTCAGTTATACAGAGGAGATTGGTTTTGTTCAGTTGTTGGCCTCTTCTAGGTGATTTACTTAAAGCCAGGGTGAATTTGAATCTGAGATGATACTCAAACTCAGTTTAAGAAGTTTATTTTCTTTTTCCTTGTCTGAGAACTCCTTCCCTTGCCTGAGATCTTTAGATCTTGTCACCTATGTTCAGTGACTGGACCCCCTTGTCAATCATCTTAGAGAAAAAAAATCCCCCTAGCTGTTATGACCATCCTTTGTTTACCAATTAAAGCAGCTAAAAGCACTAAAATGCTTCTGTCACACAAAAGGCTCTTCCCACGCTTCTCATAGAGCTGACCTCTGAGCTCTTTGCCCTGTTGTTCCCTAGCCTGATGGCAGCATCTTGGACAAATTACCTGCTTTCCTTTTCCTCCTTCTGGAAAGCTTGCACTGCCCAGGCAGAGCATCAACAGTCTGTCCAGCAGGGCCATCTGTGCAGGGAAACGGCCTGCCCACCCTGCCCCACCCCTTATCATTTCAGGCCAGCAGCCTCTCCCAATTCCACACTTAGACCGAAGCAGTCACAGGTAGGCGGTGGAGTCTCAGGTGGAAGACTTAAGAAATAGATTGGGCCAGATGAAAAGGGGCAGTTTTGAGAACTTAATGGAAAAGCAAAACAGATGTAACTGAACCTGCCTAAAGTTCTTCCAGGTGTGACATCGTAATGGAGGAAGGCTCTACACTTTCACAGAGCAGACTGAGTGCAGAGGAATATGGCTAACCCACACATGGACACAGTCACACATCACCACCTGTGACTTCTGGAGGAGGCACTGGCTAAATAAGCTGGCTGCTTCCTTTGTTCATTTGTATGAAAAAATACTGATTTGCATTCTATGTGCCCTTTGAACAGCATCCTGGTGGAGAAGAGGTCTTAAGAGAACAAGCTGGGGGTGATGCTACGGAGAACTTCGAGGATGTCGGGCACTCTACTGATGCTAGAGAACTGTCCAAGACATTCATCATCGGGGAGCTTCATCCAGTAAGGACTTTTTTTAGGGGAAGGGGAGTTTTTCTCATTCCTTTTTAAGGCTACCGATTGACCTTACCTAAGTTTAGATTTGAATCTGTACAGAACTTAGAAAGGAATAAAGCAAAAACAAATCCTCCTGATTTTAGAACAACATTTTTGGCATCAGTAAATCGATCTTAAAGTCTTTGCATTTCGTGATTGTGTTTTTTATGGACACTTAGAGTCCGAATGCCCTGGCCGAGGCCCTGTTCTGGGGAGCGATTCTCAGTCTTTGAAAGTCCATGGAGCAGTAAATTTTAAAAGGTGGAGGTATCAACCCAGTATGACATTTTTTGTTTCTTGTTTTTTTTTTCCACCAAAATATTTTTCTTAAGAAACCTCTCTTCTACTTTCATTAGTCTGAGAATATTTTAATTCTAAACATGGTTCTGAAATTGTGTTCTGTTAAATGAATAAGCTCATGTGAAACTAGCATATTATCCTCCTCACTTTACCCAAGACTTTTGGGAGTGTTGGCTTTGGTTCTAGTCTATTGGCTGGCTTTTGGAAAAAAACTGGCTGCTTTTGCATTTTATATAAACTCGGGGCTATGATATGAACTTAGGCCCTTCTGTGGCAGTTTTAAATGACTTTGTGGAACTTTACTTGCCTATCACCTAAGTGTCACCTAAATTGTGGGAATGTAACTGAAAACTTGGGAGGATGTCTCTGAGTTCTCTGGGTTTCAGAGTAGACAGGGGGACTCAGGCTCTGCCCCTTGAGAGAGAGTGCCCGGCCCCTTCCTGCTTCCCTCGCTCTGGTGTGTTACAAGTAGCCAGCCAGGGGCGGAAGAGCTGCCAGGAGCCGGCTCTTACGAAAGAGAAACAGATATCTTCCAGTAGCTTCATTTTAAGTGAGCAAACTGAGGAACTATTTTTTAATAAAATATGAAAAGTTTTATTTCATGTAAACTATGCTTCCTGTAATGACTGAAAGAGGGAAACGTTAAAGAGGCGCTTTGTGGAAGGCCTGGGAATAGGAAATCCTTTAGAGCAACTTCCACTGAGTGGGGAAGATTTTGTTGTCTTTGGTGGTAGGACATATGTAGTGAGGGAGTTGGCTTCATTATCTGGGGGATTTATTTGCCCATGTTTTCATCATCGTGTGTCCCAGAAGTGAATTAGTGGTAATTGGTGAGGTCTGTCCTTAAACATGGCCCAGCCCATCCTTATTCTGTGCAGTCCTGTGCCACAGGGTTTGGAGGGCAGGTTTCAGGCCTGGGCTCTGGTGCTTCTGCTTCGCTAGCCTGCAGGGCTTCCCTGGCTCAGTCTTTGCACACCCTGGGTTTTTGACAGCCTCAACTGAGGTTTAAATAGTTTATGACCCTACAATCGGGAGATCGCAGGGATTCATGGAGGTCATCACATGACTAAGGGATAGATATGCATCTTCAAGGGAATTCAGGAGGAAAGGGGAAGAGTTATGTTTTCAGCTGCTCCCTGAGTTAAAGATCTCAGTCCAAGTCTAATAAATGGACACACGGTCCACAGAGTAATGGAACTGTCATAGTGCCATTCTGAACTGTGAAACTCCAGATAGAAAATACCTTTTGGCACTGAATCTGCTGTTCCTTTTTGCTGTTAAGCCTGATTTATCAAACTTTGTGTTTAACAGCTGAATATTAAACCCAAATTGCTAGTTACTAAATAATGTTTTTAAAAAATCTCATTAAAAGTGAGCACTTTTTGTAGGTAGTTTATTATTTTTCAATGTTCCTTATTTTTTCACTTCATTTTAATTTTTTTTTTTTTTTTTTTTTCAGGATGACAGATCTAAGTTAGCCAAGCCTTCGGTAAGTGTGGCCTTCTCAAATGTGTCAGAGGATGGCAGTATCTTCATTGTATTTAAAATCTGTCAAACAAAGGTCTTTTACCTCTCTGAGACCTGCAAAGGTTTGTGTACTTTAGATTAGTATGGATCAGTTGGTGTTTTCTGAGGACAGCTGTGTGTTTATTTTATATAACTCTCAATACTTGAGCTATTCATTGTAATTATCAGTAAATATCTTTGAGGACTGGTGGTACAGCTCAGTGGTAGAGTGCTTGCCTAGCAAGCAGGAGGCACTTGGTTTAAACCTCAGCACTGCAAAAACTAACTAAATAAATAAATAAATAGATTTTAAAACTATGAAAAGCTATTAGCACTTCTTAACTAGAAGATTTGACGGAAGCCTTTCTTTCAGAGAAGGTAAAATGCGGTAAAATGTGATTGAGTGGAGGCCTTTCCACCTACATCCTTGAGGCCACTGCCCTTGTCTCCTTCTCGGCATCTCCTGGGTGTACTGACTGTGCAGTATGCGTTCATTTACCCTCTGATTCCTAGCTCTCACCTCTGAGCTGACCATCTCTTCTGTATTTGAAAATAACCCTGGGGTAAGAATTGATGGAAATAGCAGAAGATCCTGAGAAGTGCATGCAGGCAAAGTGGTTGCCAGCCTGTGATTAAAGAACTGAGGAGGAAAATCTGCTTCAAATGATGAAAAGTATGATTTTTCCATTTTGGTATACTGTTGGTTTTCTGTAGAGAGCACAAACAAGACTCCACTAAGCTTGTACCAAAAACTGGTGAACTCACAGCCTAGCTGTGGCCACAGGACTTTGTCTTTAATTTATAACACAAAGTTATCAATTCAGTAGCGTAAGTGTAAAGGCCATCTTCACCTCAACAATCAGTACAGTGAAAGCCTTGGGTAGTGCCGTTTGGTACAATGACATTTCATTTATATTTTCTTTTTTCCCTCTTCAAAAAGTCTTAAGTTCCATGTTGGTGATATGAGTACTCCAGGAAGATTCAAAATAGACTTCAAACTTTAAATGGCATTTGCAACAGTTGCATAGAACCCTTGATTTTCCTGCCTGGTGTTCAGGGTGTTAATAACCTTGAAGCAAAGTCATTTTCAGCTGCAGGAAACAAGGGTGTGAGGAGCCTCACCACTCTATAGTTTCCAGATCTGACTCCTGTCTTAAGCACAGGAACTTTTAAAACTAGATACAGTTACTCTCTTCAGAGACCTTATAGGTATATCAACTTTTGAGTTTTTTTTTTAAGTCCCTTTATGGAGGTTTTGCTTAAATTAGAACATAGCTGAAGGAGGGTGTGGCAAGAACTTGCTGGCTGTCTGAGAGGCAGATGAAATATGATCACTTTTTCTAGATCTGTCTTCCTTGTGCTTTCAGTTTACCAGAAGAAAAGAGGGACCTTAGATGTTTTTTACTTATGTATCTGAGTTGCCATCTGTCTCTAGTCTGGAAAATGTCCTCTGTGGTCTGATCTTAAAATGTTACCTGCTTGGGCTGGGAATGTAACATGGTGGTCAAATGGTGTCCTGGCACACACACGGTCCTGGGTATGATCCCTAACACCACATAAAAGAGAAAAAAAAAAACACCACGTTGCTTCTTAAAATGTCTAGTTGAGTTGTGAAGTGAGATGTACCAAGACGTACCAAAGATTATTAGCTTAAATCTGCCCAAGGGAAAGCTTGATATCAGATTGCCAAGTTTAAGATATTCGTAGACAGGGAAATTACACATTTTTAATTAAATCTATCAGCTTTGCTTATGGAGAAAGTACCCTTTATTGGTTATAATTTTCAAATCATTGTGATATGAATTTCTCTGTGGCTCTTACAGTGTCCCTGTAAGATCCTCAGACTTGCCAAGGGTGATAAAGACAATGAAGTTTGTCTTGCTCAAAGTCAGATCCAGAATGGAGTCTAGCACACACCCAAGGCTTGTCAGCTGAAGTCTCTTAACCCATGAAGTCCCAAGTTTGCAATTCTACAACTATTTCAGGGAGAGAAGGTGCATTAAAATAGGTTGGAAATAATAATTTAGAGCTCATCTGCAGTATTATATTATAATTATACTCTCATTATTATGTAAGTCTAATATATACTATATTTAAGCTTTAATCTGGGATGATGGGACACAATGGCTTAAGCTTCTGAAGGCTCTGGACTTCACATGAAGCATCACTCTCAGTATTTTCAGGGAGAAAGTCTGCCATAGAAAGACCAAGGACTGAGCTAAGCTAGATGAACTTATACATGAGATGACACTGACTTAGCAAAGGTTTGTTGGGCTTTGCATGTTTATATATGGAGCTTGTCATAACATTGATTTACATAAGTCATTATACATGACTTAACCAGTTTAGTTGTTAACCTGTATTAACTCCAGGATTAAACAGGTGGGGAGCTTTCATAAAGGCTAGAGTCTTCTCTCCCTGTTCATCGTGGATGGATCTGATAGCTTCATCTCCAAACTCAACTGAGGCATCACAGAGCAGTGGTCACTAAAGCAACTTGCTTTTCATCCAGGTGCTAAGTGGTACTTCGAGCTTGCTTTAATTCTCAAGCATCCTGGGTTATAGGGCTAAGAAAATAAGAAAGAAGCTACATGATTTTCTTTAGGTTCTGCTCCTTATAGAATTGTTGTTGCTCCTTGTGGTGATGTGCTAGCTGTGTTTTAACTTAGCAGCGTTCTAACTTTATAGCAGTGTTTTCACATTAGTTCTTATGGCAACCAAGAAGGGTAGGGAGAGGTTACACAGAGCTTTCAGCAAGTTTGGTAAAACGTACATGCTCGTGCCTGGTGTGATGTGGTGTGTGTTGATGTTTGCCCTCTGTTTGCTGTTTATGCCTGACTTTTCAGTGTGATAGTACTGTTTGACCTTTAGTGAGCTTGTTGGTTTCAGAACTGAGTATGTTTTTCTTTTAACTGTAGTAAAATTACTTGCATATTTTGATGGTTTTTAGTATGTTTGCAAATTTTATTTGCATAAACAAAATTTTAAAAATCTTGTAATAGTTATGAATACTTCTTAAAGACACTGAGATTTAAAATTGCTTAAATAGATAATAAACATAAAGTTTTACTTTTAAATGACTAATTTTTTCCCCACTGTGTCAGGAATCTTAAAGGCGATGTTTCAAGGTTGGTCGGTTTCATAGCTGCATTGCTTGGACTTTCCTGAGGGGCTTCTGCCTTTTCCTGGAGTCTCCAGGTGCTTTGCAGAGTGTAGCTGTGCTCCCTGCAGACCGCTGACTGCTTCACTAATGCTTATACCTGTGCTGCTGGGAACTGCAGGCAGGACCTGATGAAGCTGCCTCCTTCATGGCCACTTTTTTTGGAAGCACTAATACTTTTGCTGGTGTGGAATATTAAAAATGCTTCTTAACATGACCTTGAGCCCAGAGAAGTTCATGTTTTACCGAGCCTTAGTTTTTCAGCTGTTTGGAGAACTTAGCATTTTTCCAGAGACATTGTCAGCTCACTTTATGGTACTCAGAGAGGAGCTGCTCTGAAAGGCACTGGAAGATAAAACAGGGCTTATTTGGCAGTCAGGCGGAGCAGTGCCTGAGGCCCATCAGGAATCTTGCTGGTACTGTCTGGTCAGAGTCAAAGCAGGCTGGGAAAACATGGTAGAATGTTAGAACTTGAACTGATAGCTCTTATTTTTTCTTTTTGGTTGACATATATTTAATTTAAATTAGATACACATTAATATCCTGCAAGATTTGAACAAAATAATTTGTTTTTACTAGTATTTCTTGTTTTTGAAGAGCTGAACTGCCCCTCGTAGAGATGACAGTGGGGTTGTGTGTGTGTTTCCGTGTCTCTGTTTTTAGTTTCTATGTCAAAGCTTTTAGGTGCCTATTGTGTGCAGGATGTTTTAAAAAATCAGAGTTAGTATTTGATGTTTTTAAATTATCTAGATTATGTTCTTAGATAATTTAAATACGTAATTCTTAAACTTTTGTGTTCTGGGGAAATTGGTGAAGCTAGGATTTTAGTGAAAAGAGGTTTATAATATAATTTTCCTTTTCAACATTTTTTAAAAATGACATTGAATAAAGTACTCTGGTCATATTTTAAAACAGGTGTTCAGTTAATGGAATAAATGCTTGGACACTGCTTTAACTTTTTCTCTTGTGTTCCAGGAATCTCTTATTACTACTGTTGAGTCTAATTCCAGGTATGTGGTGGTTTTCTTCTACAGCGATGGTGGGTGGAGGGCTCCTGAGTCAGAGGTAGACGGGGCTTCTCCCTGATAACTTGTGTACTTGACTTCCCATGGCTTCCTCAGTGATCATCCTGGGGCCGACAGGCTCTGCTCTGTGGGGCTTGCCATTCTGAACTGTCAGCTGCAGCGGTGGCACACACTCTCCACAGCGACCCCAGGTCTTGCCCCTGTGACAGCCCTTCCAGTAACCAGTCCCATGGCTGCTCCACCAGACGGAGGCCCTTGTCCTCCCTCTTGGCCCATGGTCAAGTTCAGTTGTGGTGCCTATTTCCCTGGGCATGATTCCTTCCTTTGTCATTAGTATGCCCTGAAGCTGAACCAGTAATCTGAGTGTCACGTTACTGGCTTTCAAGACCAGATTTCTTTATTAACATTTCTGGCAGCTCTGCCTTATTGACTTATATTATGGCTCCCAGCCCCTTTTTGACCAAGCTCAAAACAACATATTTGTATTTGGCCCTGTCAAATTTAACCGCCCCATCTCTAGTGTTCTGCAATATTCCCATTCCCACTGCCAGTACTTCACCTGCTCTTCACTGACGTGTGGCTTCCTCCTAAAGGGAACTGAAAAGCCTCGTTGAGACCAAGGTTGCACTTATTTCTTTCGTACTTCAACTCTTTATACTGAGCTTGAGCTTTGAGTGAGCTGATTAATTTAAAGGTTCATGTCTAAATTGAAGCTCTTTCCATTCTGTTGTTGATTTGACCCATCATCTGTAATTGACAGTCAATCCAAACTATATGCTTCAAAACTGAACAATATGTAGGTCATGCATTTTTGTGAATTTAAGCCTGTAGATCACTGACTCAGAACTCTGTATGTGCAGTTCTTCAAGTTTAAATCCACGAAGCACAGGTGTCAAGATTAGGTTTTAAAAACAGGATCTCAGAGTGCTGAAACTGACGTGAAAGTAGCAACCGGAGCACTCCTGTGCCCCGGAGGCCTTCACTGGGCAGCTCAGGCTACCTGACCTGCCCTTGGCTTCGAGCTGGCTGACGGCCCACCCCTCTGTGAACCTTGGCCTTCTGATTCTCCACTTCATGTCATTTGAAATTCTTAATTAATGTATGTGAGTAGAATAAAACATATCAGGAATATTCACTTTTGTTACCTTGTAATTCATAACCTGTAGTCCATGCCCACAAGAAAATCCCTATTCCTGGGAGAGTCTCTCTGTATAAAGTTTGTGGAAATAGGTTAAAACTAGCAGGATAAAGCAATTGCCAGTGTTCTCAGGCACTCATTGACTGTGCTCACTTCAATTCTAGCAAAGCTAAGTTGCCTTTTTAGCTAAATTGGTTATAGAGGTGAGAAAAACCCCACAGTAACCTTTTATTACAAGGAGCAAGGATTTGAGTTCCTGCACTGAACACCTCCTGCATCTTTCTAGTTGGTGGACCAACTGGGTGATCCCAGCCGTCTCAGCCCTGGCTGTAGCCCTGATGTATCGCCTCTACATGTCAGAGGACTGAATGACTCTCAGAAGCCGTAGAAGGAAAAGGCTGCTTTGGAAAAAGGAGAAAAGAAGCCAGTGTTAATTACTTCGACTGACAGAAACCTTCGCCTGAAAAAATAATTTTAATATGTTCCTCTTCTTCCTACACTAGAAACAAAATGAAAAGAACTGTTCTTTCTACTCTTAAACTTTTCAAATGTGCCTTTTTATTCATCAGCTTTGTTTTGATGTTTTCTCACTGTGTAATTTACTTATTGTAAGCATGATCTTATAAAAATATATCTGGCTTTTAAAATATACCACCATGTTGCCTGTCTGTTCAGTGTAGGCTTTTCTTCAGTGGTTAAGATCTCTGGTCATGTATGTGCTAATCATTTAGGTCCAGCTCTTATGTGACTTGAGGCGAGGGCCCAGCCCTTGGAGCGTCCTCCTCATTGTTGAGCAGTTCATATGCAGTCACCCCCTATTTCCAATGCCATTTCTTTTTCAAGGATATTAATAAAGGCTCAGAAATTATAGCTCAAGAATTTATAATAATTGTTTTGCTTAAAACACATGAAAAAAGAGAAAGTCGTCTCCAGGATATAAGAGATTCTGCCTGTCTTCTTTGATAGAAAAATGCCAGCAGCATAACAAGGACCCACAGCCTGTGAGAGCCCGACAGCTGCTCATTCTATCACTTTAAAAACATCACCCCAAAGAGGCTCCCAGCATTACCCTTTCCCAAGTTCTGAGAGTCCTCCTTCAGAGGTGAAAGCAGTTTATTTCCTCGCCTGAGGAAGTGCTAATTACCTGACTTGTCAAAACAGTTGGAGGAGATTAGGAACATTTTATCTAATTTTGAAGCAGTTTAGCTGTAGGTGATGGGCCACGGGGCTCCCTGGTTGGCTTACTTCCTTTTTAGAGCTCTGGATTGACTGGGTCATCTCCTTTTCCATTTGTGGTTCTCTGCCTCATGTATTATTGTTATGCTATTTCCTTTCAAAAATAGAACCTCAAGGGAGTAATTTTCTTGATCATTAGTAAGTTTGTAACAAGATGTGAGCTATCCTGCACATTTCTGCTAGCCTGTTAGGGGACTGGACAGTGGTGACATTCTTCAGAAATAGCTAAATACATTGAAATTTTATTATAATAGAGTATGGGTTTTTATAATCAATGGCATGCATTACCCTTTGCCTTTTGTGTCACTGAAGCAGTGAAAGTTGGGCGAGGGATGTGGAAAGGTGGCTGTATCTCAAGGGAAACACCTTTCAGGAGAAAGCATCTCATAGAGATGGGATTTCATGTTCAGATTTTAATAAACATGTCTCTAACGAAACCATGGACTTGGGGGCATTCTTTGACACCAGCACCTCTGAACTTTGACACGTGGCAGGTATTAAGTCAGTAAGCTCTGGTGTGCATGGGCTGTGAGGCCTGTTAGTCACAGTAGGACAGCAGTCAATGAAAAATGCCTGTGACGACAGACTGGATAAGCTTCGATGCAGCGTGGCTGTCCATGCAAAATTCCTCGTTTTGTCCTCTCAGACATGGCCTTTCAGCATCATTAGGAAAGGGTTGTCTGGGAGGTGAGTGGGACACCACAGGCCTGGAGGTCATCAGTGGGTGCTTCTTACCAGTGCTTTCTGTAGTCCACACTTCCAGGACCCCCTAGGAAGGCAGAGGGTGTCTGGTGTAATACCATGCTGGGGAGATGAAACTCTGAGGCAGGTGCTTGAAGATTTCTCTTGAGTGATTATTTTCAAGTTTTATAATTATTCCTGGTGAGAGTTTTGTTGTCGCTGGTTTTCCCTTTATTTTTATCTGGAAGAGTTTGGTTGTGAACTTGGTTTAGTTTGCTAAAGTTTATCATCAAGAACTTACTAATGTTAGAGATTATACAAGTACGTTTTACTCTAAATGTCTTGTATTAGCACTCTTATGTTCATGAATGGTTAGGTGAATGTAACGTGCTTTAATGAGAATGTGTGTGGTCATTGGGTTATATGTGCCGTTACTATCACTTTCATTAGCTGACAATTTCGAGTCCTGTCTGGAAGCCACACCCTGTCTCAGGTGGTCCTGTCATCTGTCCTCATAATCCCTGCAGAATTCTTGGGGTGCAAGAGCAGAGCGGGGGTTTCAACTTAGGCTTGTAAGACTCATTTACCTCTATTTAAAAAAAAAAAAACAAGGGAGGCTTGTGTGCTCATTACTGACTCGCGCCCTGGGGCCAGGGACCAGGTGCTGTGTTGATGCAGGGACACAGAATGCAGGCCTTCGGGAATCCTGATATCAGAAGCCGCCTTTGCACAGTAGTTGTGAGAGTAGGTAAAGGCAGTGGTGAACCAGGTCATAAGATGCCGTGGCATATCCGAGAGAAGTTGCTTGCCTCCTGGACTCTGGACAGGCTGAGGAGATGGGGAAGGGCCTGTCCTGCACGGGGTGACACTGCTGATGTCTGTGCCCTGCTCTGTGCAGTCACCCCATTTCCTCTGCCCTCAACGTTGCTCCAGATGTACTGCCCGGAATAAAGCACACTGTAGGATAAAGGGCTGGAATTGATGACCCCATGTGTATTTCAAAATAAACCACAACACTTGTTAAAGGAAATAGTTAAGTTAAAGGAAATAGTTAAGTTTTTTAAGTTGTGGTTTCTAGCTTTAAATCTTCAAATTTTAGTACTGTTTAAGCCCTTGCTCCTAAATTGGCTGTGAAGTGAATTGAAGTGAGTGTAACGTACCCTCTGTGGAAAGGATCAGTTTGTAAGTAATTTTTAATTTTTAACTTCTGTTTACTTTCAGAGCCGTAATCCACAGTTGAGCGTTGGTGTTTTTATTGCTGACTTAGCAGTTTGTTGCCTTGGCTGTTGGTTTTTCTTTATGTGTGTGGAAATAACGTGTGGAACAAAGGAGAAGGAAATTGTTTATGGTACTTTCAACATTTAGAGTTTGTGCAGCCAGAATGTCAGGTTAAAAAAAAAAAAAAATGTACTTCCTTTCCCTTAGGAGAGTGTAAAGGTTCCCAAAACTCTGTTTCTCACTTCCGAGTGAGAAACTGGAGCAGGTGTCTGCTTCCCTTCCATCAGGAGATCTCTGGAACCTTCTGGAAGCTGATTCCCTTATGAAGGGTAGCCTTTCTGAACATTGTATGGTCATGCTGGTGTGGAGAGGATCTCTTTCCACACCCTCAGTGCGGAATCTGTCAGTGTCTCGGGGCTGCCTGGGCAAAGCAGCACCCATGTTAGCACTCAAGTCCTAGCTTCAGCTTTCAACAAGGCTGTGGTCTTTCGGGTGCTGTGGACTCCTCCTCTGACTCTGTCTCTGTTGCATAGACCTTCATACCAGTTTGTGACCTCATCTCAAGTGATCATATCTCCACTCAATAAGGTGCCAGGGGTTGGGACTTGGCATCTTCTGGGAACACAGATTAACCCACGGAACATTTTCTTCTGAAATGGACATGGCAGTCATGCCAACTCCTCTCTATTTACTGCCCTGAGCTCCCTCTCTCCCGACTTTTCAGGAAAGAGGCTGTCTCAACTTCTGGGGGACAGGATCAGGGGGACAGTGAGCAACAAACATTTGTTCTCACAGTTCTGAAGATAGCAAGTCCAAGGTCAAGGTGCCTGCAGATTTGGGTCTGCCAAGGGCTGCTTCCTGTGTCCTCAGTGGGGAGAGAGGAAGCAGGCTCTCCTGGGACTGCTGTAAGGACACTGATGCAGTTCATGGGTGACCCTCCTGACTACACACAGTCCTCGCCTCCCTCTCGTGGGGAAGAGGGTCCCACATGTGAACTGGGGAGGCAGATTTCCCCTCCATCTGGAGCTGAGAGCTCATTGCCCTGGGGCGTGAAGAGTGGGGCAGTGGGGACCCTGGATGTGGAACCCTGCACACTGGAGTCTATGCCCTGGAGGTGGGCTCTGCCCTTCCCGTTTCCTGTCTGACCTGCGTGGCTGGGGTGGTGCAGGAATGGGGCAGCAGCCTGTTGGTTGTGGTTTCAGGTGTGGCAGGTGGTCAGCAGCGGGGAAGCAATCGGCACTGAGCCAGAGCCCTGCCTCCTTCACCCCCTGAAGACTGCCCCAGGAGATGTGTCAGGTGATGGTATGGTCGTCTTTTGGTGACAGGTTCACAGAAAACCAGAATTTTTATTCCCCTGGTGTGTATTTCTGTTGTTGAGAGGTATGATGGATTGAAAAAAGACATTAGGGCCTAACAGAATTTCTAATTCTGGGTAGAAGAAATGGAAATAGAAAAGGAACAGTGTCATTTCTGTCTACCAAGAAAGAGCAAACACTTCTTAAGGGCAGTGATGGCAAGTCTTCATGATATTTAAATGCCACTGAGTATATTTAAACAAGTCACAGCTTTATTTTAAGTCAATATTTAAAATACACCAGAACTATTTGTAAAGATTTAAACTCAAGACGAAAAATTGTAAATGACAATTGAAAGTATTTTTCAAATTCTTTTAAGGAGTGATTTAGGTAGAACATGTGGAGAGCCTGGCTAGCAGCAGGTTCTCTCTCTCTTGTAGACCTGTCCTTACATTTTTCCTTGATAGTGTATGTTAAGTGGAGTAATGTGCTGCATGTTTAAACATCAGGCTGCCTGAACATTTTTATTGCTTTCAAAATATTCAATAAAAAAATTGCTTTATATTTGCATTATGCTTGTCATGTCACATAGCCGCTCACGGGAGATCATTTTGCACTGTCATCACCATTTCCCACTGGGAAGCTTATAGAGAATGTGACCAGGAAGGAAATGGTTCCTGTTTGCAGAGCTCAAGTTGCCAGGAGTGGACACAGAAGGCGAGAGTCGGTGGTCCGTGCGTGCACGTCCAGCCGCCTAGAGACCGTGCACTCAGGGTGAGAGTTCACCGGGAAGGAAGGCGCTTGCTGTCCCTCGGCAGCCTACAGTCAGTTTGCAATCAATCAATAAATATATGTTTGAGAGATTGACAATGAGATCATTATGTAAATCCTGAAACCTAAGTCGCAGTCGTACTCATTTTTTGATTGAAATATGATCATTTTCAAGATAGAAAATGAAACCCCAGAGGCTGGAGTTGTAGCTCAGTGGAAGAGCGCCTGGCTAGCATGCGTGAGGCACTGGGTTAGAGTCTCAGCCCCACATATAATTAAATAAAATAAAGGTCCACCAACAACTAAGAAATATTTTTTGAAAAGAAAATGAAACCCCTGTTGTGAGTGGGAAGAAGACATATTTCAGGGAGAGTCCTTAAAAAGGCAAAAACAGACGAAGCTGATTTTCCTGCTTGCTTTCTTCTCTTTCCTCCCACCCTGGTGTCTTTCTGGTCACTTTTTTCCCCCAGTGAAGCTGACAACACAAAGAACCCACGAAGTTATGAGGTTCTACGTGCACCAAAGCCCGTTGAGTTTGGGAGTGTAGCTTAAGTAAAGGAAGGGGGGCCGGGCAGCAGGCCTCTCTGACCCAGGGGGGTTCTCCATTCCTAGGCAGCAGCTTTGCATCTGGCTGTGCTTGGGACCTTGAAGGCCAGGCCAGAGATGACTGGAGGT